CCGACAAATCATACTAAATGGAAAAACACCCGAATTGACTTTGGAGGTTTCATCTCTATATAGAGAAGTTCCATCCAAAATTAACCAGGTTATGTTTTAGGCATAAAAAATATTACAAACATGGTTGACAAAAAATACAAATATTGTGCACAAAAATAACCAATTTTACAAACATTACAAAAGTAACCGACAAACATTACAAAATAACAAACCTTACAAACATTACAAAAGAAACAGACAAATAGTACAAAGCATACTAACCGTATAAAATACCCCTACTTATAATACAAATCGGAAAATTCTCCTCCACCGTCTCTGGTCGCCAGAAAACTTCTTCCATAATCGCCGAATAGTTTACTATAAAAAACTCTCTCTCTCACCAAAATCCCCACTGTCGCCACTAATTAGCAATTTACATGGAGGGGGGAAATCCCCACGCCGCCGCCGCAAAAAGTCATCGGGAGAAAATCCAAACGTCGGCGTCGCAAAAAGCCACTGTGAGAAATTCGCAAAATGCAACCGATCGGCAAAGCGAGGGGTGGGAGAGACATTCAGATCCCGTTGTTTTTTATTTTAATTATTAAATAAATAATTTATGTAATTACTATATTGTCCTTCATTAAATTGAATTAATATGAGCGATCATATTTTAATGATGTGAAAAGGCTGAGATTCACCTAGTCACCTGATCTTAGCCCGAGAGTCCCGTACCCAATCAAATGAAAAAGGTAGACTGCGGCAAAGGAAACAAAGAACAACAGCGTAAAACGAAGCAAGAAAGCGAGGGGCGACCCGCCAATCCCGTGAGAGTCGAACCAACCCAAATCGAGACTAAAAAAAGTTGGGTAAAAACAATATATTATCCACAACTATTAAGTTTCGGGGAATTATATCCACAACTATCGTAATACAAATTATTAGCCAAACGTTAACTTTCCGTTAACAATCCGTTAGTAATGCTGACTAAGCTTTATGAAGCTGAACTGGCTCCCACGTGACAGTCACTCTATCACATTTTTTAATTTTAAGAAAATGAAAAGAAAAAATAACTAAATAAATCCTAAAAATTAAAAGGAATCCTCTCGTCACCCTCTTCCCCTGTCTTCCTCCGCCCTCCCCTGTCTGTCTTCCTCCGCCCTCTTCCATCACGGGATCCGGCAGCGCCGGAGCTATTGCTGCAGGTGTTGTTGGTATTCGCTGCCGTATGGGTTAATTGCCACCATTAATAATAATAAAAAACCCAGAAAAATCAATCAAAACCCTAAACCCAAACCTGAAAAATGGCATGCAATCCTAGATCGAAACCCTTACCATTCTCTAATTCCCGTCGCCAATGTCATCATCGTCACCGCCGACATTAGTCGACGTTCTCGTTGTTTTCACCGACATTTCCTCTCATCCTTTCTCCACTTCGTCACTAGGAAGAACATAGAGATAAAGAGGTTAGATTAGGATTAGTTCTTCTTTTAGGAGATCGAAGAGATTGGAAGAAGAATCGGGGAACGGAGAGCAAAAGGAAGAGGAAATCAGAAAAGAAGGAGAGGAGAGTCGTTCTTTTTTCTGTTTCAATTTTCAGATTCAAGGAGAAGATCTGAGTAATTTTAAAGGGGCAAAAGGAAGGAGAAAGGGGAAACCCACTGGAAGAAGATGGCGGCGAGCGGGCAGAGGGAGGCGTTGGGGTCCCCGATGAGGTAGACGGTGTGGAAGGGGTGACTGGGGTGGGAGTGGATGGCGGGATCATGGAGGAGGCGAATTAAGAAGAAGAGCTTCTCCCATATCCACATGGCGACGCCGTCGAGTTTGCTGCAGGAGGCGGGGGAGTGGTGGCGGACTCCTCTGTCGGTGGTTGAGTTGGAGCGGAAGTTGAAGAAGCCTACGTCGGTGGTCCATTTGGGAATCAGAGATGGGAGCGAGAGGCGAAGAAAGGGAGAAAGCAGGGGAAGAGAAGAAGAAAGGGCGCTCCAATTAATTTTAGGGTTTTTTTTGTTTTGTTTTTTTGTTTTGTTTTAAAATTATAATCAAAAGTTAGCTGATGTGGATGACGATGTGGCCGCTGATATGGCACTGTCCGTTAAATAATTAATGATGGTAACAGAGATTTATCCATTCATTTATGCGCAACAGTAGTTATGACTAATAATTTGTATTACAATAATTGTGGATATAATTCCCCGAAACTTAATAGCTGTGGATAATACCAAAAAAAAGTTTTATATATTCCACTTTCCCCCCTCCATTCCTTCCTAATATGACTCTCCTCAAATGCTCCTTCAGCAGTCCTTTTCAGTCACAACACAGACCCTTTCCAAGCTCAAATGATGGGTGCTCAATTGGGTGTTGGAACCATAGGAGAACAAGACTCTTATTTAGGCCTACCAGCTATCTTATCTAAATCAAAAAGGGAAACATTCCAGTTCATGGAGGAGATAGGGATGGCAATGGGTCGGGTTGGGTCGGGTTTTGCCAAACCCAAACCCAAACCCATGGGTTTATCTTTGAAAAAAACCCGGGGTAAAACCCACCGGGTTTGAAAAACTCAAACCCAACCCAACCCGTTGGGTATCCGCGGGTTCATGGGTACCCACGGGTTTTGTCGTAAAAAATTTACAATTATAAGTTCTTATCAAAATTAAAGTCAAATATCAATCTCTCAATATAAATTATCCATATATAAAACACCATTCTAGAAAATTCAAGCAAATCACAAATTAACTATACAAATTGTTCAACACCAATCTAGAAAACTCATGAAAATTGAAGCAAATCACAAATTATCCATAAATAACATGTTTAATTGAAAGCTTCTTTCTTTCAATTAAGTTTCTTTAGTCTCCACTCCATAACATCAACTTCATTCTACACAATTAAAAAGAAAAAATTAGACATGTCTCCACAAACATAAATAAGAATAGTTGTTTAGAATATTAAATATACCGAAAAAATTAATTATATGAGTGGGCGGGTACCCACGGGCCGGGTTTACCTAAACCCAAACCCAACCCAACCCGGTGAATAGTGAACGGGTTTAAACCCAAACCCGGCCCAAAACCCGTCAACACGGATTTTACCCGCGTTGACCGGGTTGGGTCGGGTGGGTACCCGTGGGTTCGGGTTTTGTTGCCATCCCTAGGAGGAGAAGCTTATTAAGAAGCTACAAGGGTGGAAACAGCGTTCACTTTCGAAAGTTGGGAAAGACATTCTTATTAGAACATCAGCCACTAATATACCAGTACAAGGTATGTCATGCTTCAAGCTCCCCAAGGAAACTGTAGGCGCTTAAACAGTCATGTCGGAAAATTTTGGTGGGGTACGACACAAAATTCAGATCACCCAATCCATTGGTTGTCCTGGAAAAGTCTGGCTCACAGTAAGTTCCATGGTGGTCTTGGATTTAGGGACTTCGAAGCCTTCAATCAAGCGTTGCTAGCTAAACAATGTTGGAGAATATGGACCAATCCAAATTCATTACTCTCCCAAATATATAAGGGTAGGTATTTTACCCAATGCTCAGTGTTGGAAGCATCAATTGGTTCAAACCCTTCGTGGGGATGGAGAAGTCTACTCTTTGGAAGAGATCTGCTCATACAGGGACTAAGATGGCAAATAGGCAATGGACAAAGAACCCGAGCTTTCATTGATAACTGGGTCCCGGGGGATAAACCCTTAATACCGAGTACTCGACCCCATATCCAAAACGAATCACCTATGGTATCTTATTTCATAAAAGAAGGTCGAGGGGAATGGGACGTACCTAGACTATAAAATTGCTTTGAACCACAATCTATTGATCTCATAAGGAGAATTCCTCTTCCTCGAAATTCACAGCAAGACATTAGAGTGTGGCACTATTCCAAAGATGGAAAATACACAGTAAAATCGGGCTATCACTTAGCTCTGGAAATAACATTGGCATCAAGTCGAAAGCCGATAGTGCATATCATCGACCCTCCAATCTGGAAAAAGACTTGGAACATCCAAGTTCCGCCTAAACTCAAGCTCTTCATATGGCAATGCCTCAAAGTCATACTTCCAACAGTAGTGGCCCTTCATTCTCGTGGAGTAAACTGCCGTAAACGATGCCCTGTCTGCTGGAGACATCGAGAAAGTATTGAACATTTATTCTTCAGATGCCCCCTAGCCATCAGATTGTGGACTTTAGTGGGATTGAGCAACTTTATTGAGACCGCCCAGACTGTTAACTTTAGTCTATGGTGGCGACATGTCATGGTTTCCGAGACCACCCCATTCCACATTCTCCAATGCGTTTGTTTACTTTGGAGAATCTGGAAGTCTAGAAATGAAGTGACCTTTGAATTTACCCAACCTCATGTCCGTTCCCTAGCCAGACAGTTCTACAACCAGGTCCTCGAATTCTCCAGTCTCCTTCCCCCCCATCCTCCCCGCAGCTCTCTTCCCCCTTTCATCCCGGCCACTACTTGGGTCCCTCCTCCTGAAGGCTTCTTGAAGATCAACGTCGACGCAGCTGTCAGTGCCTTCGGGTGTTCGTCTGGTCTCGTTTTTCGTGGGTCAGACGGGCATGTGGCGTTGGCGATCGGGTCACAACATCAAGGGATAGTCAACCCTTATTTGGCTGAGCTGCTAGCGTTCAGGGATGCTATCTCCTTTGTGGCCTCAAGATCCTTGACCCATGTGATAGTCGAAGGTGATTCTGAAGTGGTCGTCAACCAAGTCCGTCAAGGCGTCTCAGAAGTCTCGATTGGTGGTCCGATGCTTCGAGAGTGTCTGCAGATCCTTAGCTCTTTGCCTGCTTGTATAGAGTTTAGGGCGGTACCTAGATCCGCCAACAGTGCTGCCCATAGAGTGGCGCGTAAAACACTGCTTTTGTCTCTTGTAAAGCTAGAATCTTTTGATTTCTTGGGGTGGCTTCTTTAGAGTGTTTTAGGAGTCCTGGATAGAATTGTAAGCTTAACTTTTTCTCTGATTGATATCACTCAGAAAAAAAAAAAAAATCTCCTTCACACGTCCCCCTCTCTCTCTCTCTCTCTCTCTCTCTCTCTCTCTCTCTCTCCTTCTTCCCTTGCCACTCCAGTCGTCGCCGATGAAATGATTTCGCCTCCTTACCTCAGTCCCTCAGTTAATGCCACACTCCCTCTCCGTCAACTCCTCCCTCCGCTTCCTCATCGCCTCAGCTTTCCGGAGCTTGTTTAAGCCACCGTTAGCTACTTCTCCGGCCGCTGGTCACTATTGCCGGCGATAGCTGAAACAGGAAAAGAATAAAAAAGAGAGCAAGACAGAGAGAATAGGACTATAGGAGAGAGATTAAAAGAAAGTAGCCTCTAACTTCTCTAGTTCTCTTCAGCTCTCAGTTTATTTCTCTTGTTTCTTTCGGCTGCTTTCTCGATTCTACCTCTCTGCCGTCGTTTGGTATCTAGTCTGTGAAGTTTACAAGAAGTTTCCACCTGTGATCGATCTGCAGCCCTCCGATTGCTCCATTCTCTACCACGAATCGGCGATCGATTATGTAAGCTAATTTGAGCTGAATTAGCTTCGAAATTGAGCTGAGTAGGGACAAGAAGTGCGTCCCTGAAGCTGATTGTGAGCATGTTGGATCTTAATCTGAATGTGGAATTGGCCGAGTCGACTCACTACTCCGACTCGGCTTCTTTCATGGAGGAGGACAAGTATCAGTGCCATCGCCAGCTTCCGGAGGCATCGGAGACGTCTAACTCATCGGTAGTCAACACCGATGCGTCGAGCAACGATGACTCGTGCTCCACACGCGCCTACACCGGCGACGCTGCTAACAACAACAACAAACTCATGAATGGCACCACCACCATCGTCTGCCCCTTCAACTTCGATATTCTGGAAGTTGGTGGCGGTGGCGGAAATGAGAATGACGAAGACGGCATCGTTGTCACCAAGGACTTCTTCCCCGTTGAGCAAAACTCTGCGGGACAGTACGGGTGCCCCGCACGGGCGAATTGGATTGATCTGACGTTCGAGAGGCAGCAGGAGATCGCCAGTGGCGGACCGGTGCGGGTGATTCAGCAAGCCGCACAGCAGCAGGTGAAGAAGAGAAGGAGGGGTCCCAGGTCTCGGAGCTCGCAGTACAGGGGAGTTACCTTCTACAGGCGGACTGGCAGATGGGAATCTCACATCTGGTACTCCTCTTGTATTCATCGTTGCTTCAACTTCTTTGGAGTCTCCGTGGTGTTCTTATCGAATTCCTATTGGCTTTTGATTGGCTGATGTAGTGAATTTTGAATTGGCTAGCTTAGTTCGGGGTCAAGTTTTGGTTGAATCCGAATTGAATTTGTGTGGCCATGTCTCGTTGAAACTACCGAATTGCCACCTAAACCTAATTTTTCTTGGGTGCAAATAGGATGTAATGCGAAATAAGAGAATGTCTGTTTGGTTAATGAGTTTTTTTTCTTCCATTTTCCTTCACTCATTTCAGGGACTGCGGGAAACAGGTGTATCTGGGTAGGGATGCTACCTGCTCCGTTGGTTTCCCTGTGATTTAAGTTTGCATTGAATTGAAGAAGAAACATTTTCACTTCTGTTTGCTGTCGATGGTATGTAGTTTAATGGTGTCTAGTTTCGAATTTACAGGTGGATTTGACACGGCTCATGCTGCTGCAAGGTACCAATTCTAGTTATGCAGAACATCTCAGATTTGATTTGATTTGATTTTATTAATCTCTGGTTCAATCTCGAACTATGCTTTTGTAAGACATACCTTTCTATTCTCTTTGGTGTTCAGGGTCTATGATCGAGCTGCAATTAAGTTCAGGGGAGTTGATGCTGATATCAACTTCAGCCTTGGCGATTATGAGGAAGACATGAATCAGGTTTGCGAGATAGGGGTAGTTGTAGAAATTGATTATCTGAGTTCTCTGTAGACTTAGAAGATTGTGTCTTATGCTGCTTTGTGTATCAGATGAAGAATCTGACCAAGGAAGAATCTGTGCACATACTGCGCCGGCAAAGCACAGGTTTCTCTCGTGGGAGTTCGAAATTTCGAGGAGTGACATTGCACAAATGTGGCCGGTGGGAAGCTAGAATGGGACAGTTCCTCGGCAAAAAGTGAGAATTCGTTATCCCTGAATTCACTCTGTGGCTTGTATGTTTGGAAATGCTAGATTGTGCTTATCAAGTGAGTGCTTCAATGTGATGAAAAGAATTTTAGAAGCGTAGTTGGACAAACAAATTACTGCTTTAGTTTCTGCTTTGTTTGGGGAAATTTTCTAAAGATGTATCTTTTCAAAGATGAAATAATTGCGCTATGGTGTTTTCACCTGGGAGATTACAATGCTTGCGTGCAGGTATATATATCTTGGGCTGTTCGACAGCGAGGTAGAAGCTGCAAGGTCCTAATGAACATTGATTACACCCTACTACTGATAGTTTATTACCATAAATTCTCTCGACCTCAATACGGTCCCATCCAATGTGTGTCTCCATTTTGGTTTTCTGGAAATCAGGGCTTATGACAAGGCAGCCATCAAGTGTAATGGAAGGGAGGCTGTGACCAACTTCGAGCCTTGTACATATGAAGGGGAGATGCCTTCTTCTGAGGCTAGTTCTGAAGGTTAGCTACTGTGCACGAATGGAGTGTATTTGGGTATGGTGTACTTCTGGTAGTTCTGGATAAACTAGTTTCTCTATATGGTTTCAATGCAGGAACTGGCCACAACCTTGACCTTGACTTGGGAATATCCCCTCCTTTTGCCTGTGCTTCCAAGGAAAATGCGGGCCACCTGCCATTCCACTCAGGACCTCGAGATACTCGTGACAAGAGTTCAAAGGTAAAGCATAACACTGCAATCCCGAAAATTTTGGATTCTATTCCAGGCTAAGGATTCTGCTGCAGTGAACCTATTGAGATTTATGGTTTTTGCATTCACTAGTCTGGTTGTTTAGATCTAGGAACACCGTTTTATTAGCTATGAAGTTTTGGCAATGCAACTTAATAGTGTGGTACAACTTTGTCGATATGTAGGTAGAGAACCCAATGGGCAAAATGGTTGGTGATCCACTTTTCAAAGGGCTTGTGAGGACATCATCAGATCACTCAGTACCCTTGAACGGTGCATATGCCACTTTCTTCCCTGCCGAGGTATGTACCGTATGTTCAATGTTCATATTGGTGTGATCTTATCAAGATCCGGTCCTATCCTTTTCTATACTATATTGTTCAATGCACTTTGTCTAGTTGTACAACCTAGGTTTCACGGATTCTACATTAAAACTACCATGATATGTCAACTTGCTGATCCTACTTTTTTTCTGGCGTCATCTTTCCTATCGGGGCTGAACTTAGTTTTCCTTTTCATACCTGTACTTCTCCATTTATTGTCCTTATATGTGTTACAATTCAATTGAAATTTGACTTGGGTGTGAAATAAACAGTGTAAAAGCAAGCCTTAATCTGTTTCCCTTCGTCATGTGATGTTCTTAAAGTTTAGTAGCTTTCTGGGTTCCATTTATTTAGGTTCTTTTTTTTTTCAACCAATCCAATGAATTCCCCAGACGAAACATGCTACTACTCTCATTCTCCATACAGTTAGCAGTCCATTAGCAGAAAACAAATATGTTTCTGCAAGTGGAATTGTGGAATATGAGGTGGCATAATGTGCAACATAGTCTTTGTGATATATTCAGCGCACTTAAGTAGTCACTGAAATTGATTACTGCTGTATTTTTTTTCCCCCAGGAAAAAGCCACCACAGAGAAGACGATAGAACTTCAATATCAACAAGCTTCTTCTCATGGGCTACCCCACAGCTGGGCGTGGCAAATGCATGGGCAACAGGTCGCAGCTACTACCCCAATGGCATTGTTCTCTACGGCCACTGCAGCATCATCAGGATTCTCAACTTCAGCTACCCTTCTTCGTCATCCCTCGAAACCTTTCAACCACAACACAGCGGTAGCAGCAGCAGCAGCCCACGGCTTTGATTTCGAACCATCTCCAGTGGTCATGGCTGCCAACGGCTCTACGTTCTTCTACTCGATGAAGCCTCCCCAGGCTCCCTCCCTATAAAACCAAACCACACCAGGCTCTTATTCTTCTTCACTGTGAAGCACCAGTAAGCAAAGAAGAAAAAGGCAAATGTTCTCCGAGTTGATGCACTTTCCAGACTATGCATTTTATACTGACATTCTTCTAGTTGAACTACTGCGACTCTTCCAATGCTTGGAGCCCAGCCTCTTATTTGGCTGACCAGGTCCCCTCAGAAGTCAGAATTATGGTATAGCTGTTGGAGTTGATATTTGATATTTGAATGTAAACTGAGCATACATAATTGTAGCCATACATCAATTCGCTCTGACTCACTCTAAATCTTATTTTGAAGTAATCGGTGTGGGGCTGGTCTCTTCCTGTTGAAATGAGAACTTTTGTAACACTTTAGGTGAATTCCACATCGATAAAGTATGGGAGAGATCCATGATTCATAAGTAGGAAACCGGCCTTAACTGACAAGACGCGTGGGAAGTCACCCTGAATTGCATCCCAAGTCGAAATCAGTGTGGGTATAGAGGCCCAAAGCGGACAGTATATTGTCGAAAAAAGGTTCGGGATGTAACAACCTTTGAGCATCGGGCCTCCAATAGCATCTGACTCTATCCCTCTGAGAAGCTGGCGAATGACGACTTCAAAGTATCCTTCCAGTATGACTTCGTGTAGACCAAAGCGACGAATTAAGTTTAAACCATCTCGATGAGCTAGAAGTTCGGCTAGGTATAGGTTGATGATCCCAGGATGTGAACTCATTTACGCTTCGTTTGTTCATTTGTCGTTTGTCAAAAGTAGTCACTATTATTGATGATGCATTCCAATATGAATAGTTTTGAAGTTGTATTGAGAAAATACTACCTTGGTGGGAGAAAACTTGTACATATACAGCTCAACGACCTACAAGTTTGGGTAAATATCTAATGTGTTCACATACCGGAGAAATTATTTTAGGGGGTGAAACTATGCGTTTTTGGGATCTGCGTGCTCCATCGATTCTCCCGAACGACCACAATTAGCACGAGCAAACATTTTAATGATGAAGAACACATTAAAATATACCGATTTGATACTGTCTTAAGACACACTTGGAGAGCATTGTACAACGGAGAGTTGTATGTTGCGTTCGGGATGACAAAAGTATCAAAGATTTAGATTCTTTATTTATATTCAACAATGTACTAATAGTTCCTTTATGTTAGATCAAATGAACACTAGAATGATGAATTTTACAATGCTATATAGAATTGGTGTTATAGGTTTTTGCTTTTATTATACAACTTGAAGTTGTACCTTTAAATTATGGTACAACTTTAGATTGTACCTATAATCTTTTGCACAAATACTTTTATTGTACTACTGGAACTTATACATTTATGTGATAGTACAACTTTAAGTAAAGTTGTACCATAACATAAGGGTACAAATTCCTTTATAGTACAACATGAACTTATACATTTAACATTATGTTACAACTTTAAGTTGTATATTAAAGCACCAATGCTTTATAGCATAGTAGAAGTGTTCCACTAGAATAAGTTTGATGCATTCAACTCCTAAGACTTTGGAACAATTAGACAATTAGAAAAATGAAACCATTTGTTTTGAACAATAAAGAGCTAGCAGCTTTTACTATAACATCCGTTCTATTTATTGGTCTGAGCTAGATCCGAATTATTGGAAATTAATTGAATGACCAATTCAAACAAATTCTGAAGTCTTCGATCTATTTTGATTTCTTTACCAACACAAACAATGCAATGCCAATTTTGTAGAGACAAATGCACTCAGACCTTGAATACCCTCCGGTTGTAGGTGCCTGAACAACCCTCACTTCAGGTGTTGAACTCGATGAAATTGACTTATATCTTAAGTTAGTTAAGAGTAATCATGAATTAAAAAATAGATTATAGGAGCTAAAAATAAAATGATATCTTGAGCAATTTCACATACTTATTGGAATGTCCCACTTTTTGAGAGAGGGAGGACATGATGGACCTCCACACAAGGTATGTCAAGCAAGCAAGTTGAAGTGGTAAGTTTGAGACGAATATTTTTCAGAGAAATTATGAAGTTAATTATATTATCGGACATGTTTTAATTAAAGAGATATGTATCTTCCTAATAGAACGTTACTTATTTCCTCACAAATGAGCAATATTCTGGGGGTCTCGGCTCATATAGATAGCTGACCCTCAAACCCTCTAAACTCACCAAATTCAAAGAGTAGAAATATGAGAGAAAGTGAGATTCAGAGAGCTCCGATTTTTGCGCCAAACTGATGAGCAAAGGAGTAGTTGTTTTATCCTGAAGGTGATCGGCTGATAGTCTGTCGTGCACATTACGTGGCAGTGCACGAAAGTCTTAAAGAGAGCGACATAGTCTGTGACTCAGCCAGATTTTTATAACCTTAATTTTATTTTTTGGTTTACAACTATTTTAAAACATTCGGTTGTTGTTATGCATACCGAACACAATGTAAATTCTGGCTTGACATATCTCTCTACCGTTCCAGTGCAAGCCATGTTACTCTAGTGGTGCCCTAAATGAATCCAATCCATTCCAATCGGCGGGAGCTTGATTCCACCTCTATTGCTCTTAAGGGTTGCCCCTTCGAGTGATCCACTTTTGTGAGAGAGGGAGGACTTGATGAACCTCCACACACGGTCGGTCAAGCAAGCAACTTGAGGTGGTCAGTTTGAGACTATTATGTTTTGGAGAAGTTCTGAAGTTAATTATCTCACTAGATGTGTTTTAATTAAGGAGATATGTCTCTTCCTATTAGAACGTTACTTATTTCCTATGAAACAATAATATTCTGGGGTCTCGACTCCTGTAAATAGTCACCCCTCAGATCCTCTAAACAGACAACTCAAAGAGGGGGAAACACGAGAAAGAGTGAGATTCAGAGAGCTTCTGTTTTCGAGCAAAACCTCTTCCTATTGGGTGTGTGTTATGGAGTATAGTAGATTACATTGGTGCATATGTTTTGAACTATATGTGGGAATAGAGTGTGTTACTTGTCGTAGTGATGAGATTAAAAGAAGTATTGTTTGTCAGTACTAAGTGAACCACATAAGCTGCTCTGAAACCTTAAAGGTTAAAAAATTAGAGTAGCATGTTGAACCATATCCACGCCAATTAAAATGGTACTTTTCATGGTAATCAAATGATCGTCGGCCAATCCTCTAATAATGACACTACATTTTACCAATACAGTAGTTGAAAATGAGGCCATATGGCACAAAAGTGTAAGAACAAGTTCAACATTGGTTCCAGTGTTAGCTTCTTTAAAGAAGAGGTGAGTGGCTAAGATCACTAAGATAAAGAACAAAGGTTAACTCTGAGCGATGATGGTTGGATACTAGTGCCTCGAAGCACGTGTGCTATGGGTGTAAACCTTAAAGATAATATGATAAATTATTTTTTGTATGTGACTTGTCATGGTAAATATGTGATTAGAGAATTATAACCTTAATTCTGATTCATTTTTATATGGGTAAACCTGTTGGTACTTATGTCTACCGAACCATGGATTACAAGTGATGGTAACCCAACCCGATAGACTGGAGATCACAAAAATTCGGTTCAATCGGTAATAGCAAGTCATGAGTAATATGAGAAAGATTATATTACTCATAACTTCCATGTGGAGCATGGAATGAAATACATTGCTTGAGAAATTCATATTGAAGCAAGAATACCTAAAGCTTATAGAGGTTGTGTTAATAGTGTAATACCCCATTATGTACGTATTAACTAATCAATTTGTGCAACATTAGCAGTAATAATCATGGGTGTTACATTAATTCAGAATACACTCCAATTAAATTTTGGCATGAATGATTCGCATAATGTGCTAACAGTTCTTTCAAGTATATCTTACAACATAGTTTATTTGAATCTCTGCATCCATAGACATAATTACCCACAACCATATACATTGGCTTTTCATATTCATAGTCATAGTTTCATACTCTGCAACTGCATATCATACTTATACATGTCATAATCGCCACTACTTACACAACTACGCACATATACACACTACATCATAAGACGGTATATGCACATGAAAAACGTTCTCAAAACAGTTTTACAAAATAATGTGGATCACTGGCCAAAATCCCAAGTAGTCATCCAAGCACAGAATAGTTGAAGACCATACCTGATTCTGCCTTCAAGTCCTCGCTCTACTCACCCCTATGTACATGCCATTGTTGTTGCTAATGATCTGCTTACACATAACATAAGCAGAGTAGAAGAATAAAAAATGGTAAGCTCATAGCTTAGTGAGATATTCATCGCATAGTGAGTTCATAACAAAGCCAAAGCACTAGGATCAGTCCTCATCTATCTGACAACCCAATAGGCAAAAGACTCAACCACCTTGACTTATGCGTATGCATCTTATCATATTTTAGTCATAGGCACCTGGCTACTCTCATGCTAATAACTATACATATTTTAGACATAGGGTTCTCTCTCTTTAGGTCATATGCCCCTTGTGATGACCCACTTTTGTAGGAAAGGGAGGACCTCCAAGTACAGGTTTTAATTATCTTATCAGGCACGTTTAAATTAAGGATAATTTATCTTCCTAATAGAATGTTAGTTATTCCTCACGAAAGAGGAATATTCTGGGGGGGGGGGGGGGTTCAGCTCCTATAAATAGTTGACCTCTCAGACCCTATAGACTCACCCAATTTGAAGAGCAAAAATACGAGGAAGAGAGGGAGGGAGAGAGCGATTCAGAAAGCTTCAGTTTTTACACAAACCGTCGAGCAAAGGAGTGATTGTTTTATCCTGAAGGCGACTAACTGATAGTTTGTCGTGCGCATGACAAGACAATGCAACAAATATCTTTAAGAAAGCGATCTACTTCATGACTCAGCCAAATTCGATAACATTATTTTTTTTGTCCTATTTACAAACATGGATAATCATAATAAATTAACTGTACATAGTAAAATGCATGTCAAATCTCCTCTTATAAAAAGTCAATAGTGATTGATCGCTTGCGTGATCGAGCTTTAAATTTATAATTCGATGCACACTCTCTATTCAATCCTAACTAAGCCAAGCATAACCTAGCTAGGGTTGTAGTAAAGTGGCTCTGTTGTTGATAACACTGAATTTGCACATGTTTTTACCCCTAATTTCTTGATGGTTTAGCTTGGTGTTTATCATACTTTGGTCTAGTTTACGCTAGTTTGTGTTTCTTTATCACATTTCAGGTCCTAGCACTTAAAATGAAGCATAGACGCAAGTTTCAAGTCAATCGGAGATCGATTGGCGACTCGGGGGAAGAAACTCGGGCATGACCCAAGGAAGAATGGATTTCTACCTCATTTAATAGAAAAATAATCATGTAATCTATGCATGGAAATAAAGTGGACGAGACTAGGAGCATCTGAAATCAA